CCTGGGCCACGGCCCGCACCAGGATCTTCATGGCCCGAGGGGATACACCTTGCAGGAGGTTCCACTGAGGCAGGAAATAATTGGGCAGGTGTCCCTCGGCCAGGCTGGCTGACAGATCATCCAGGACACCCAGGAGGGCATGCGCAGCGTTCTCCTCCTCGGCTAGGTAGCGGCTCGGCAGCCGTTCACAGGACCACAAGGCCAGGGTGAAGAGGTGGTATGGCCCCAAGCCCTGCAGGTCAGCCCAGGGGAGGGCAGCCGTGGTGGCTCGCAGGGACCACAACAGCGGCGGAGGAAGGATGCGCCGCAAGGGCAGCTCGCTCGCCGAGAAGGCGAGGTACCAATCCGAGCCAGAAGAAGACGGGAAGAGGTAGAAGCCAACGGTCACATCTTCATCCCGCAGTTTGCCATCCCAGAAGTGTCCCTGGCTCAGCCACGGCTGGGCCACCTCGGGCCACCCCTGAAAGGCCACCACAGGGACGATGTCGTAGAGAACACGGTAGGATCCAATGCAGACGATCACAGAGGTGACGCGTCCACGGAGCTCGACCCGGACATCTTTGGCCGCCGCGGAAAACACCCGGAAGAACCACTCGGACACCAGTTCTGCGGACAGGAAGGTCTCGTCCCCGTAGCTGCACTCAGACCAGCATTGCTGGGTGGGGGTGTCGAAAGGCTGGAGGCTGATCCGGGCATGCCCGGGGGGGCTCTGCGTCATATCCAATGTGACGGGCACGCCGGCCACATTCAGAACTGGCACCAGGAGCGTGAAACAGGTATCGTAGTCACTGCCGGGAGAAAGCGGGCACAGGGTGGTGCCATTGATGTGGACTGTGCCCTGGTGCGTCCCACCAGAGAGGAGAAGGTAGCGGTTGACCGGGGGCAATTTTCCATCCGTTCGTTGGACCTGACCTGTTGGGAAGAACAAGGCAGGGGGTGGGCAAGGAACCACGGCCGAGCTAAGGCACTCCTTTGGCGGTATCAGGGGCAAGAGACCACACGTGAAAATCCAATCAATCTGCTTTATTGAGGAAAGCCTGTGTACAGGAATCTTCTAACTAAACTGCTTTATTGCTGAAAGCCTCTGTGCGGGAATCTTCTAACTAAAATGCTTTATTACTGAAAGCCTCTGTGCAGGAATCTTCTAACTAAACTGCTTTATTGCTGAAAGCCTCTGTGCGGGAATCTTCTAACTAAA